TGCTGTCAATGAGTCGTGGAGGTATATCTACAACTATCACTTCAGTATAGCTCGTAATTTTACGGATCCGACTAGGGTGAGGTAATAATCCGACATCCCGATAGCAAATTCGAGGCTTCAATAACCAAAATGACTTTATCGTCGTAGATTGGACTTGAACCACTTTCGCTGCTGCGGGAAGCGATAACTGAACTATTCTACATCTAGGAATCAATTTTCAGGGCGTTGTCGATCTGCAGCGGCCTCGACTTATCCATGCTTGAAAAACGCTGCAGTACATCCAAAAATGCCAGAAGTAGGCCTCGAAAGCTCACCTAAGAAGAAGCCTTTTGAATTGAAGAATAATTGCTTTCATCTCAACTTTAAGCCTTCATTCAAGGCTCTCTGCTCACGACTACTAAAGCTCAAGCAATAGCCACTCTTAAGGACGCGCCTCTTCAAAACAACGTACTGCGTGCCTGATCTGAATCTGAAGTTCCCTAGACCGCTTAAGGAGAAGTTCAAAGATAAGAGAGCCTTCGGCAAAAGTTTATCAGCCCACGCTTCCTTAGCACATCATTCAACGCCCACGTCGCCTGTATTGTGTCATATCCCAATTTATATATATTAGACTCAGACTTTATCGCCGTGGGACCTATGCATCGCTATGGCGGCAGGCTTCTAATACTCCTTGAAGGACTCACTAACGTGAACTGCTGGATCCTCGCAGCCATATCATCTTTGCTTTCTTCGTCACCTGCACCTCTGCAAGAAATTCGCCTCAATCTTGGGCTTCATCCCCTCGAGAAAGTCGTTCTTTCATCCATACCCTGTCTTTTGCTTAGGCCACAATATCGATCGCTTCGTGCGCCGATCTTGTCCTCGGAATTCCTTGGCAAGCTTTTCATAACGTCGATAGAGCGGTAGAACTTAGTGTTGGTGAGATTCAAGGGGCTTGTTTGGATTGATATGCACTACAAACTCTTTCAAAGACGTCAGCATCCAGTGATGAGTCTTTCTATCCTGTGCTTACAAGCGACGTATCTCGTTTCAGCCCACGCGTGGCTCAATTCATCGAAGAGAAATAGACCAACCAGCACGGCGCGCAAGCACTTGCCAACTTTGAAGCAGAGTTCAAAGCATACAAGGCAGCTAGGACTGTCCTCGCTGCCTCGAGGGATCCTTTTTCCCGCTCTGACCTGTGGAGGGTAATTTCACTGCTATGAGTTCCTTTATCTGTTTCACGCATGTAGGCCTTATGACGTGAGAGTAAGTTCTATGGTAAGAACGTAATAGTGGTTCTTTACAAGTACGATCTGCTTGACCCACCTGGCCCGTTTGAGCTGCTCTTTGAATCTCTTCCTCCAGAATTCCAAGCGGAAAAGACTCAGCAGAGAGTAAGAGAGACACGCAACCCCGACACATCCAACTTTGAACCTTCTCCTCCCATGTTCCCAACCCTACCTCCTCGTCTCCGGCAACCATAGTATCATCACCGCCGAATTAACACCCCTGCTCTCGCTCGGCCCTGAGATGCGACAGCCCCTGATGAGCTCACACTGACTCCCCATCCCCAAATTTATCCCAACGCCCCTGTTGCCCCAGCAAAAAGATCCACCGCTCTGTCACAATTCAACTGAAGCGTTAAACTACTCTTAGCGTTTTCTGAAAAGAAGTCATCACGCAGACAAGGGCATAGAGTGGTGAATACACGACTGATTTTTGATGATTTTCTTGACTGGTGCTGGATGGATCCGTGCTGTTGGAGGATATTGGAGGGATGTCACGACTTGAGAGGTTAAACGGGACTGCTGAATCAGCCTTGCTGCGGTACTCCAATATTCTCCCTAGTCTAATGCTTCGTCTCGTCCTCTTCTTCGTCTTCTTCGCTGTAGCCGTCTACAGTGACGATATCGAGTTCTTCACTGCGTTAAGCCGAATTCCTTTTTGCTTCCTTCCTAGGCTGTTTTATCACCATCACCATCGTTAGCTTCACCTTCACCATTGCCATCTCCGCTGGCTTCACCAATATTCCCTCTCGCTCCAGTGCCCAATGGCATCCCTTCCAGCAGCACCCTCCCTTCCACTGTACATTCCGTCGCCGTGCATGTCCCCACCATCACTTTCCATTCGCAGGACTCATCGTTCCATCACCTCCACTATTTCAACCTCACTCTCTCCCTCTTTTAACGCAGGTAGGGATACCGCTGACGCGGTCCGTTCCCTACGACCACCATTTATACCACCACACACATTGACGCGTCCAGCTTCTCCAATTTGCAAAGCAACCATCGCCGACAATGCGCCGCGAATTCTGACGGCTATCAGGCAGTCTTACGACCGAGACTATAACAAGTTGGATGGACATGATCAAATAGTCGTATGAAAAGCGGTGACCGGGGGCTAAGAGGCGGTAAAGTCAGAATGGCTGACACGAAATGGAAAATGGGATTGAGGGTGAAATGTGGGTTTGACACCGATGGACGTGAGGACTGCGAGTTGACGAAGAGGAGGGCATCTGGTGCGCAGAGCTCCATTCTAAGAGACCCTCCATGTAATACGCTGACGGGAGACAGGAAGATAGAGGTTAGAAGTGGAATGTTGGTGACATTTAGCCCAACGACCAACGACCAGATGGCCTGGATGCACTGTCCCGCAAATGCGTTTTTTTTAAGGATCTAGGCTGATCGGCCGTATACAAACATTAACTTCTGACCAAGTATATCCCAGTAGCTCTGTGTGTCTCATGCAACATGAGCTGTAGGACGTCCCCATTGTCCGTTGAAACTCATTTTATCATAGTGAGAATGCCAGGTTTGGTGTTTGGTAGCAAACAAGCAAACGCCTCCAAGGAAAAGAATTCCATTCTTTTGCAAGATTGCGTTATGTAAGATGTCAAGCAAGCAGCAGCATTCCATCTTGACTACATGCTCAGGTCTTCTCCAAAAGACTTCTCACTCTCTCAGTTACCTCAATATCACAAAAAAAAATCATTAGATATCCAGAAAATGTCAGAGCAAGCCCAACACCCAGGGAGAACACCTACTTTGAAAAGATGCGTTAGAGGATGGTATCATGAGCGACCACGTAAGGCAAAGACTGCAAAGCTAGAGTCCTCTGACTGACATAGCTCAGACCTCTTAGAGCAAGAGACAGTCATTCAAAGGCAACCTCACCATCCCCCTTCTCCTAACACGCCCCAAAACGCACCACTTCCAGCAAACCCAGACGAGCAGCCTTTACGCGCTGATTATATTCGCGAACGCAACGGTGACAGATCGTCGGCATCGCCTTTTCCACCCTCGCATGAACCACCCCTGTCCGAGTCCGAAGAAGCCATGGTAAAGTATCTAAAGCACCATCCCCAGCGAGCCAAATCCCTAGAGTAATTAGGCGAACACATCTCACGAATGATCGTGTGGGCTGAAAACTTCGACGCCAGCACCATGAGCGACGGTGATGCACCCGAGCCTTCATCTTTGGAGAAGCTGAGGCAGCGATGTGTGCAGCGGCCGGGTTTGCGTGGAGGTTTTGGGCGGAATGGTGTGGAGGTTGCGCCTTTGAACGTGAGAAAGCGGCGCGGTTAGGAGATGGTGAGGATCTTCGGTTGCATGTGAGAATGGTATCGTATAGGAAGCCGGTGGCGGTGTTTGGATTTTAGAGGTATTCGGATGATTGATAAGGAGATGGCAGATCTGAGGATGTATGTGATAGGGATAGGTGTAGCATCTATGACGAGTCCTGCTCCACTTCTTCTTGAATCTTGCCTTGCTTGACTTGTTGAAAGCCCAGTCTCGTAGACGAGAGTCGACCAGCCTTCTGGCTCGATCTCTCACGCCATTTGCGTGCAGCTGCTTTCGATTGCAACCCTACTGTCCTAAATTACGTTGTAAGTCGCGGTTTAGTTCTTGCCTTCGAGGTTTTATATTCATCAACTCAGTCTTTAGGCTTTCCAATTTGTCGCGGCTTGTCGACAGCGTTCTTCTTCTTCTAGCATGTCAACGCTAGAACTATTGCTTGGGGTGGCTGCGGCATCTCGTAGACTCTGTTTAATGGCACGAACCTCGTCCACTGCCTCTTGCACTCTGCCTTATAATTCGCCGGTGACCTTGTTTAGCAGCCCGCCTGCTCGCTCATACTAGTCATCATAGTCTCTCTTTGTGTCTTCAAGCTTTCGAGTTTCTTTCTTGATTTCTTCATGGCTTCGCGGACAGTGTCGGAAAGATGAACCAGAGGGCCCCCACGCGCTGTGCTGGGAAGGCCGAGAGCCACGTCGAACCATTCATAAGCTGGGGGATAAAGTAGGTAGGAGGTTGGAGGAGATTGTGCTAAAATGGACACATTATTAGTTGTTAGAGTATTCGAAGGAGCAGATAAGGGTTATTGTTGATAGAATATCTGGGGGTTTGAATAGACGGCGCGCGGAGGAGGAGATGGGGGGAAGGGGTCTTTATGAGTCTGTTGGTTAGTGAGGATAGACAGGCTTTGTATGTTCTAAGCGCTGCATCGACCCGTAATATCATATGTAATAGCTTTTCTCATGATAAAGGTTATTACATAGATGACGTTCTAAAGGGATTTGCTTACCAGCACTATGCAGTAGGCTTTTCAATCTGTTGCTTAAACAGATGGTTTCGTAGATCTAATAGTAATGCAGGCATAGCAAAGGAAAGGAGTAAGGATATTGCTATCGAATTAATTGCGAATCATATCTATAATCTTTATTACAGGGTAGAGGTACAATTTGTTCCACCTTGGAGTCGATGCTTTGAATTGACTCGCAGGTGGCCTCATATCCCCGCACGAACTAGAGGTAATAATATCCTATGTTCATTGGTCAGCGGTATTACGATGCTTCGTTCGCGTGAGCAAAGTACCTCTCATCCTCCACGAGCCAACTGCATTCCACCCGCGGACAAAGCCAGATCTATGGCTGATGGGACTAACTGTCGCTCCAGGCTCGGGGCTCATAAGATAGGTCACCTCTGGCTAATTCGCTATGCACACACGAGACCGGAATCTCAAGTTTCATCCCCTGTCTGCCTCTTCCTCTTGTTCGCAGGCATACCAGTAGAAGGTAAGGTGGGTACGGCCTTCGTCTCAATACTGGTCCGGACCATCTTATCGATAGCGTCTTTGCGTGCGCCGACGCCCCAGTCTAGAATATTATCTATATCGTAGTGCAATTGAGCGAGCTCACTCTCTTCCTTAAATCGGTATGTCCTGAGATGATGCATATGATGTGTGTCAAAGCCATTTGGGTGAACCAAAATCCAATTAACGAAAATTCGCGCTTCGGATGGCGCGATGGCCATTGAGAAAACGAATGAATCGGTATCTGGTGTAGGTTCGTCGATGAATTTAAATGCCTTTGCTGTATCTTTCTCGAAGGCAAAACGGCATCGGCGCGCGTGTTGATTCATTATTGCTCCGTCTTTCATGCAGCCGTTTTCGGCTTCTTCAATCGAGCAGTTGATACACTTGCATTCTGAGACAAAGAAGGTATGATATGCGTTTCGGCCACAGAGCTGACAGTGAACAGCATCAATGACCACTTTCACGGATAGGTCCGCCTCATATGCGTCTCCATCGACTGACCATGATATGTCTGGCTTTGGATTTGTCATCTTAGGAAATTGCGCTAGGATCGCCTTCCAGTAATTTTGGTTCTCGTTCGGGATCTTGAGTGTTGGTAAATCATCACCAACAAAGAGGGTGTCCCACTTTTCGCGGAGGTAGTCCTTGTCCCAGGCACGATCGATATATTCACGATCGCTATCTAATGTTGCGGCAGTCACTTTTCGCTCGGTTGCTAGGAGTACGTGGAAGAGCTTGCAGAGAAAGGTCGCTTCATTCTCATCTTTATTGTAGTGAATAGTTCTCTGGATCATTACAGCCTTCGGTCCAGACCAATCAGATCCTCGTTTGCCGTCTAGAATAGCGAGGGCTTTGATGATGACGACTTGACCTTGGGCCCTGGCAAGGTCTTGATTGATGTAAATGAGGTTGATTTTTAGAAGATCGCGCATGGCGGTCACTGTGCTCGCATCTGGCATATTGAAATCCTCCGAAAGTTGTGAAGGTGCTTGAGATGAGCGAGAACGCGGAGGTTCAGGTCCTGTTTCGACTTCAAAGTCTTGTAAGAATGACTGTGGTGTCAAAGAGCGGCGGCGTTTGAGCGAACGTGACGCGACTAGTCCGGCAGCAAGAACGAGATCTTGATCCCTAGGAGAGTCGTCGCTGGGCAGCTGCTCGGATTGATCAGGGTTCTGTATAATATCAGTACTCGCCACCTTTGAGGCAATTTCGCAAGGTCATACCTGAGTTCGAGAAAGTTGAGGATCGTGGACAGTGTCGAACGTGACGACTTCGACGGTGTTACTTTGAGCTTGATTGCAATGGTGTGAAGCGGTAATTTGTATATCGTTGGAGGCGTGCGCAGTTACTATTGGTGATAGAGACTAGCAACATCTTGTGAGATAATGAAATGTGAGAGTGAGAGTGAGAATCAGAAGCACTCACTTGTACTAGTGATGAAGGGTCGGGTTGGGTCAATGGCTCACGCTCCTCTGTGTCGTGCCTCTGATCAAGCGGATGATGATGATGATGATGATGATGATGATGATGATGATGATGATGATGATGATGATGATGATGATGATGAGAGGAGGGAGCACCGCTAGCAGAGTCCATCACATTGAAGGGAGAAAGTGATGGGAAGTAGAATGATGGTAAGGAAGCGAGAGATTCGTGTTTGTACGACACTCCAGATTCCTTCACAGCGCTAGACCGGATTGGGGCAACGAGGTTCTTCCGGTGCTTTGCTCCCTCTTGCCCCTCTATCATTCACTTCTGTCCGCAAGCAACTTGGTACATCTCAATCAACCAAGGGTTATCACTCTTAGCAACGAGGCTCATGGTGCATGTATGCTTGTGGATGCGCATTCGAACTGTTGAACCTGGTATCTCAACGCTCTTGGCCGAGGCGCGGTTGACAATCTTTTGAACAAATCCTTGACTAGTAGGACGTCTTCCAATTGTGCACTCATATTGCTTACAACATCTTTTCGCATCGGTCATTCCTCCCACTTCTTTTCTATGACGTTTGTAGCCGCACAGAAGGGCGGGGACGGTGTAGTGATGCTACTGATGCTTACAGCGGAGCCTCTATCCCTGAGGCTGGTACTAGGGGGTCTATAGGCTTCCCAGGGCGCTCACGAAATCTCCGGGGGGTCTTTCAGGCTACCTCTGGGGAATCTTGGGATACTTACAATCAGCATACGATGGATAAGACTAGACACAAAGTACATCACAATTTTCAAATTGAAGATACGAATGCGGGTCTTGGTGGATTCGAGTGTAATGCTTTGATGGCAATCGGTGGCTACAAGATCCCGGAGACCAAGCTTAACATAGACTGACCTGAGCACGTTTGCTGAATTCATCGGGCTCTGTGGGCTTTTTCGCAAGCCTGTTGAGGCAACGCTGAATGCAAACCAAGAGAGATCTGGAAAGCCCACGCACGCATTGGTAAGGAGAGTCTTTGCTGCTTGAAGCTGACCATCGTGTTGAAGACTCGGCGCTGTCAGTTAGTTCAGTCAGGACATCATCCATCCTCACATCCGAGCTTCTGCGTAACCATTGAAGCCGCTCCAATTCGACGGCCACACTACTCTATCTTCGGCGGAGAAAGAGTGACTCAACCTAAGGTCGCCCGATCATGCCCCGCCTGGTGCCGCCTGGTGCGCGGCGGACTTCGCCCCAAAGAAGCCGTAACGTTGCTCTTAGCCATGGCTGCCCCTCCCTTATCCCTTTTTTATGGTTTTCCAAGCAACCTTTGCCCGCGGAGGAGAGTAGATGAGTGTCCGGAATTCTTTCATCTTCAGCTGCAGATCTGCGCTTGTATGAACAGCATTGAGCCAATCCTTGCCAGCATGAGCCGCTTTCGCAGCCGATCGGAGAGCCATGGACTTGATCAAGGGCACAAATATTGTTGACAAAAGGGCGGTCCAAAGCACCATAGAGAGCAGGTCTGCACGTGATACAGAAAGGTCTCGGAAAATTGATTTGTAAGCAGAGAAAAACTGCCTTTTCCACGTAGGGCAAACAACTCGAGCATGGGCACCAACATGGCACAAGATCACTCAGAAGGCATTCTTCTCTCTTACTCTTTTTTAATAGCAGTTCAGAATTTTAAAAAGAATCATGGCCCCCTAGAGCATCTCAAATGCAAGTGGTGCATATTGTTCAAGTAGATTGGCGCTTGGAAATCTTCGCTCTCATGCTAGCTGCGGTATTTGGAGTATCAGAATAAGGCTCTTGGGCTTAGGAGCTCCAAATGATCAGGTCGCCAATCTCCTCGAGCCGAAGCATCTGTTCTCCATCGATGACGAATAGCACCGTGCGGTTTACCTGATCCTTGCAAACAGGACTGAGGATTCAGCTTTCTGTGGGTGTAAAAGATGTCCTGGTGCAAGTACATGCGGTAGCAAGTACATGCGGTAGAAACCGGAGAGGGTAGCAGCCAACTGGTTGCAGGGGAAGCATTCACTGCTGTGCCCAAAGGACGCCAATGTCTTGAACGAGAAAGGCAAAGGCGAAGGCGGCGGACACAAGCGAAAGTTCGACCAGTGAGGCTCAATCGAGCTGCTTCTTCCTGACTTGTGACTGTCCACTTTGGACGCTGAGAGTCTTTACTTTGTTCCCTGTTCAATAGTCGAAGGCGAAGAGAATCCTCCAAGATTGAAATCGACCATATCGTCTAGACAGGCTTGACGAAGGTTCTGGGGTATTTTTTTGACTTCGACATTTCATGATGAACTGGACCCATCGATAGACCTACCCAGTCTTTTGCTGACTCGTTGCTTAGAGTCAATAGAGGTATGTGCAAATCCCGTCACTTTTTTGAAGCGCGGTCCGGAGACTTACAACATTAATAACACTGACCATTGACGATAGCCTCTCTTCGGAAGAAAGTCGATGACTGAGTACCGGTACCGTTCTTCGGCTTGTTACAACCGACTGTCACCGGCATTCAAGAGATCAGCGGTTATATACCATCTTAAAATGATGAGGCTGTCCCTTTAGGCGCAACCGTTAAATGGAGGAGGGTTACAGTTTCGTGATCATCAAACGACTGACCAAATGCACCAGTCTGGCTGCCGATCCCCGCTCTGCGCGAACCATCGTCCAACTGGCCAAGTCGAACCAGTCAGCAGATTTAGGGAGAACGGCAATCGTGATGATTCCATGTCTAGGCTCCTTGGCCTCCCCAAGATACTCCGACCCTTATGCTGGACACTGTGACCGTTTTCATACAACCCAATTCTCGCCTTTTCCCTACGAGCGAAGCACAATTCCAACAAAGTGGCTGGATGTGCCCGGGGAAAGCCCTACAGGCGAGAAGTTGGCAGCCTATGTACAGCCATTGCAATTGAGACCTTACACCATGATAAGCAGTACCAGTTCAATGTTATGCAATCGCTGACAGATTCTTTTTTCCGGCTTTGACATATCAGTGGAACTATGCTCTTTCAACCTGGTACGTGTCAAGCGTGCAGAAATGCGGCGGACTGGGAACATCATGATGTAACTTACGATTGTTGAACAGCGTCGAGGCACGAATGGCGCCAAATGAGATTTAGACCTCGATACTTACACTGGTCGCAGAACGGACGGCGAAGGCCACTGTGGAAATTGTGCCTTGTAACTGGGGTCAATTTACGTCGATCGACATCAGAATCACAGAAAGCAAAAGTAATACAGGAATATTCCAAGCCAGGAGCGGTAAGATGTTACTTGAGTGGATGCTGACCTCAATTTGATATCGCACTTTCCAGCCTTGCTAAAGGCGGTTGTGTTTGCCTGCATGATGGGAGCACTCGTCGCTGGCGTGTTGTCTGGAGACGCGAATTGCTCTCCTCATTTATCGTCATGAGATCATGAGATCCGATGGCCGACTTTGATTTATCTCTGCCAGTTTCTTCCGTGCTCTCGGCCTTACTCTCCGTCTTTTACCCTTCGAGGTTGAAAATATTCTGCAGATCATGTCAGCTTTCGTCGTTATGAAAATTATAGTCAGCGGTCTTCATCCCGTCAAGCTTATGCGGAGCCGGGGATTTTCGCACCTTTCTACGATAGGCGACGCTTTTAGGGCTAGCCCATGCCAAAGGTCTAGACATACCCCTCTCGTGTTTCACTTAGGCTGTAGATATCTGAGAAATCCCTTTGAAATGTTTTTGACGACAGTTGATAGATCACAGGGGTTTGAGAAGGCGATCGCGAGACAACATTCCTTAGCGCTCAGGTCAAGATCTCATTCTTTTCCCGGTCGCTCTGTTCTTTCAATATAGATTAGCAAGGTTTCAGCAATCAAGAGTGCAGTGAAGGATCGTATCCGCCTTCATTCTACCTGCATCTAGAGTAACAGGATTATAAAGCTATGCGCCGATCAGTAAAACGGCTCCCTCGGTAGCGACCACCTACGGAGGAGGATAATTATTCGCACTATTATAGTGAACAGAAGAAAATCAGGTTCTTTTGATATTTAGGCTACTTGATTGTCAATCCATCGCGTCATTGCTTGCAAGGCACTATAGTTGGATAATTGCACTGTCTCCGTGGGATTCAACGGGTCAAGATGTTGAAATGACTCGATCCCACATCGTACCATCATGCCCTGTCATCTGTGGGATGAATACGACGATACAACACGTGGTAATGCTTTATTTCATGGTCTTGGCGCATATTGTAGTCGACCAACCTTCACACCGCAGCAAGGAAGGACGTCTTTCTGAGAAGTCAGCGCCTATATGCATCCAGCATGTAACTGTCCTATGCATATTCGACTTTGATCACCACGGGTACCTCTCGAGCTCAGTGCTCCTCACTTCAAAGAGTGTCTCCATTAGTCGTCGGTACCCTCACCAACCGTAGCTTGGTCATCATCGACAAGGAAAAACGGAATATCTTGCATTTTGCGATCATTCGATCTCCTCTCTGTCTAAGATACTCAGCTCCGACAATTTTCAACTGGCCAGGTTTCACGTGGAGAGAGCGTGGGGGAGGCCAAATACCTTTCCTTAGTGACTGTGCCTCCAAATTTTCCAACTTGACTAGATTCCGAGTCAGCTAGTGACCTTGGCCTTTCGAACGGAAACATACCATTCGCCCGAAGTTACTGCCCACCAAAAGCCCTATCTGATTCACGGCCAAGGCTTTTCGAGGGGCAAATGAAGCATATTCTATACCAGGCCACGAAACTCTTCACATCCCTTCTTTCTACCGCGTTGTTGTAGTTGCTAAGTATGAATCTCCCGGAGAGCAAAACAATCAGATCAGTTATGCCTTGAGATCTCAACCAATGACGATGCCAAAGTGTCCACAGGAAAGCGTCAGCAATGAGGACCCGCGGACTATGAATCCAGATTCACACCATATTCCAACGTCACGTCAAAGTGCAGGTCGGCGGCGATCTTCCAGGACAAGATCAAGATTCTGGGAGTCGGAAAGGCCAATTCTCTGCCCCTACCAAGGCGCACAAACCGCCGATCTAGCAGAATTAGCGGGTCAGCAGATTTGCGTGGGCGCAATCCAATTGTCTTCTGGGAACGGCCATTGAAAGATCTGTCAGGGGGCAAGGTCAGAAGGCTAAGTGGTCAGGGTCAAGGTTGGGAATGGATGACGTTTTTGGTGGAATCAGGTAATTTGGTGTCAGAAGCTGTCGAAGCTGAGTCATTTTCTTAGGAGCTATCATCTGACGACTTGGGAGGCGGCATATGGTAAGGCAAATGATGATCCTCAAGAACCGTAACAAACCTGTGCGGTGTTGTTTGCGTACACCCGGCTTGTCCAGTGTTATCATACAAAGCTTGTCATGGCTCGTTTGCAAGATAATCTCCTGATGAAACAAATAGCATCGAGGTCGAACGGGTTATGATACAGTTCGATGTCCGCAGCCTCGGTCTCTGATTGTTTGATATGCAGACATTTTAGCGCATAGGTGTTGACTTATAGCGCAATAAAGAATCAAGACATTATTTGCGTAATTCCGAAAGGCAGGACTGAAGATGGCAAACCCTCCTCTCCCCACAATCACCATCTCCGTCCATCCATTTCACATTCTCTTAATTTGTGTTCCTGCTACGATGACTAAGCTTCAAGCGTCTATGCCACGTCAAAGCTTCACCCCCTCCCTGCGACAGAGAGACGTAGAACAAAGGGCGAATACACCAGCGATATAGAACTTGACGATACACCCTGACCCCAATATCCAACCTTTCTCCACCTGCTCAGCGACAGAAACGCTTACAATCAAACACACCAAGCTCACCCATTTAGACGTCGCGTCCGCGAGCTTAGGTTCGTTCATCTCAACCTCTTCTATCTCGCCTATCCATCGCCTCCATCCCGTCTGTAAATTCGACACTCATCCCCTGCCTCTGCGCCTTTCTTTCCCCCTGCTTCTTTCCCCCTCTGAAGAACAACCCCCCCCCCAAAAGCGGTACCTAGCAACCAATGTTCTTGTTGGAAGTCTCTTGAAGTAATCATGTAGGTCCAGATTTG